TAATGATTAGACAAGATAAGAAAGCCTGGACAAGAATAAGCAAGTGGCGCCATCTGTTGGTGAAACCAGAACTAAAACATAATTTCTTTAAAGGCCGAAGGCAAATTTGGATTGGAATTAGGATCGTTAACTAGAACAGAAAGATTTTTATGAATGTGAAATGCCTCTAGAAAATCCAGTTCTCCAATGGAAGATGTTTTTTGAATAATTTTGGCAGCAGAAAAACTGAAAGTGTGGTTTTCAGACCAACAATGTTGAGCAACAGAAGACTTCTGTGTTTCCTTTTTTCTAACATATGCCTCATGTTCCTTGACGCGAAATTTTAAGGCTCTCTTAGTTTGGCCAATGTAAATTAAACCACACTGGCAAGGAATCCTATAAATACCCCAGGAATTCATATCCGGAATGGGGTCCTTGAGTATGGAACTCGGATTTTATTCATGGGAGAATAAACAACCCGAAAGTTAAATTTCTGCAAAATATGTGCAACTTTATAGCTAATTGATGGAAAGAAGCTCATTTATATTTGGAAAAAATTACTGGATTACGTTTTGTCACCGAAAGAAATAATTTTCCAATAAAACGCTTAACATACTGGTAAACTATGACCATTTTGCTGTCAATTATAATATGCATTGTTCTGTCCCCTCCGCCTTTTAACTGCTGTCGGATTAGACATGATTTTAAGTTAAGCATAAGCTCTTCTCCCAACAGAGCTTTGTTTTATAAATCTGCTGTCTGCTTTATAAATATTGTTACGAATTTGGTATTTAAAAAGCTAATGTTAGTTCAATTACAAATTAAATGGTTTTATTTCTCTCGCAGTGCAGCGCGTGACGAATATTAAAAGAAAGCTAAGCCGGAAAATTGAAAATACAAGAGCGCGTGCATTAAATAAATAAATACCTCTTTTTGATTTCGAGAAAGTACTGGAAAATTCTAGCGCGTGATTTTAAAATCTTATAAAAGGAGGAAAACATCTCAGTTTGTAGCAGTTGCTTAGTTTGTTGTTGCTTAGAAAACTGCTCTTGTTGATTGTAGCGAATTCGCGGATTAGCGTTCTTTAGCTGTTTTGAATTACGTTCTATTGGATATTTGAGTAGTTAAAAGATAACTACTGTGAGATATTGTAATTCTGCATGATAATTTGAGAAAATTTAAGCATTTTTGTTGTGATAATAATAAATTTTTGTTCATTTTTCATCGGACTTGTGCATTCATTTCATAACGAACCCGTACGCACGCAACAATTTTTGGTGTCAGGAGTGGGGTTTGAATGCCAATAACAAGAGCGATGGAAGAACAATTCAGGCAAATGATGACTGCATTTGCTGCTTTCCAAGAAAAGATGGAAGGAGCCGTCAACTCCGTTAAGGAAGATATAAAAGCTGTACAAGAAAAGATGGAAGCTGGCCAAACATCTTTTAAAGAAGAAATTAGAGGAAATGAAATTGGGCCAGGAATCCGTTAAGGAAGAAATGAAATTGGGCCAGGAATCCGTTAAGGAAGAAATGAAATTGGGCCAAGAATCCGTTAAGGACGAAATGAAAGCCGTTCAAGCTGGTCAAGAAAAGAAATGCAAAGAGAAATTACAGAAAAGGAAGAGCATAATAGAAATAAAATAAATTTGAGAGCTATGGAAGGCAGAATTGACGCAGTTGAAAATAAAGTTGAACATATTGAAGAAAAAGTTTCTTCCGTAAAATATCATATTGAAGAAAGAGTTTCTTCGGTGAAAGAAGAAATAGAAGAAAGAGTTTCTTCTGTAAAAGAACATATAGAAGGGACAGTTTCTGCTGTGGAGGAACGAATTGAAGGAAGAGTTTGTGCCGTCCAACACCAAATTGAACAACAAATTGATGAGAGAGTTTCTGCAGTTGCCAAAGAAATGGATACTTTAAAGAAATTCGTATCGTCGGCAGGGAGCAGGAGTGATGATTTTAAATTCTTCCAATGCCTGCTCGTCCACCTCTGAAGCTATCCACATATGATGGGAAGACCTCCTGGCAGGTGTATAAGACACAATTTTCTATCGTGGCGGATGCGAATGGATGGGATTCCCAAGCTAAGGCCTGTCATCTCGCCGCTTCTCTAAGAGCCGACGCAGCGGATATCCTTTAGACTCTTCCCGAAAATAAAAGGTTAGATTTCGAAGCTCTGTCCGGCGCCTTGGAGTTGCGCTTTGGGGAGAAGTTTTTAAAAGACTACAGCAGGCTCCAATTAAAATCTCGTCAACAGAAGCCTACCGAAACACTTTAGGAGCTCGCCGCGGATGTTGAAAGGCTGTCCCATCTCGCCTTTTCGGAATGCCCGACAGAAACAAGGGAAATCCTGTCCTTGCAATACTTTATCGACGGCATCCGAGATACTGAAATACAGAAAGCTCTACGAATGGCGGATGTAAAAGATTTAAAAAGTGCTCTAGTGTACGCCATGAAATTTGAGGCAGCCCAGCAAGCCACTCGTCGAGAGCGCTACCCAGTCAGAGCTGTGCGAGTCCACGACCCAGGGGACCAATTGATGGCTCGTTTTTAGATGATTTATCCAGACAAGTCGATGCTTTGATACGGAGTAGCAGTGAGAACAAAGTGGCTGTAAGATGTTGGAGATGTGGTTCTGAAGGTCACCTACGACGGCATTGCAGAACACCCCAGGGCACGAATAATGAAACGGATGAGTTGACAAGACCAGTGAATGCTTTAAGACGGAATAGTGTGAAACAAAACCGACCCTAAAGTGCTGGAATTGCGGTGTTGAAGGCCACCTACGAAGGAACTGCAGAACTCCCCAGAGCACGGAAAATAAGGCATACGATTTAAACAGACAATTAAATGCCACGGGAAGGAAAAGGACTGACAAGAAACCAAAGTGCTGGAACTGTGGAGCTGAAGGCCACGTACGAAAGAATTGCAGAACACCCCAGGGTACGAAAATTGAGACAATTTCTGAGCAACGGCGCAGGAAACAAATTAATGACCATATCAAGGAACGGAGGTTGCCAGATAATGAAAGACCCTGTTTTAAAGCGCTTAAGATCTCTATAGTGAGTGGCTATAACGGACTGTCCATCAATGGGAATATCGATGGAGTTCCTTGCAATATGATCATTGACACAGGAGCTAATGTTACCATCATTAGGAAAGATTTAGCTGAACAGTTTAAAGATAAACTTATTTGGACGCCATCCTGTGTTACCCTTCAGACTGCGTCTGGTGACAAGATCGACATAACTGGGAAGTTAAACGTAAACATCACGTTTGGAAGTGCCGCCTACCATCACACGGCATATGTGGCGGATATTACAGATCCATGCATACTCGGATTGGACTTTTTAAGGAAATACAATTTTTTCCTTAGATTTCAAAAACAATAAGCTGCTTTCAGCATCTGATGGCATGACTATCCATCCTCAAAAGGGATCCTCGCCTGGAAATGTCGACGCCTTGTCCGAAAGATCGAGCTCGGGAAGCTGCCGAAATCATACCAGGGTCGAAAAGAAACTCAAGGAAGACTACCAGCTATTCTCCATCCCAGAAGCTCTTCGTCGAGACCTTCGTCTGCCTTGTGATCACCTGTTTAGTCGCCCTACGGATGCGCCTTCATCGCCTGAGGAACACATCCAAGATGCCCAGGCCCGGTTTGAGGGGATGCACCGTTTCTGCACGAAAGCGAGTCAACTTGGCGACGGAGAAAATGAAGACCAGATGCGACACAAGAGCTACTAGACAGAGATCCAACAAAGGAGACAAGGTGTGGTTGTGGAACCCAATTCAACGAAAAGGACTGAGTCCTAAATTACAATCACCTTCGGATGGTCCATATACAGTGCTGAACACGAATGACGTCGTGGTTCGGATCCGTGAGTCTTCGAACTCTTACGACAGGTTAGCTTATTACTATGGCCATAGTACATAATGTAAATAATTGTAAATAGTATCAGACCATGGTCCTTTTTGTTTTTAAATGTGTATTTAATTTGTTTTGTATTTAGTATTTGATAGTATTTGATTTGTTTTGTATTTAGTATTTGATTTGTTTAAGTTAGTTATTGCATTTATTGTTCATGTTGTTTGATATTGTAATGTAATGTTTATGCCTCAGTTGCATTTATGCCACAGTTGTAAGTTTAGCTTCCTGTCCAGGGATTGTACTGCCCGGGACGTGCAGTCCTTGGGAAGGGGGCAGTGTTACGAATTTGGTATTTAAAAAGCTAATGTTAGTTCAATTACAAATTAAATGGTTTTATTTCTCGCGCAGTGCAGCGCGTGACGAATATTAAAAGAAAGCTAAGCCGGAAAATTAAAAATACAAGAGCGCGTGCATTAAATAAATAAATATCTCTTTTTGATTTCGAGAAAAGTACTGGAAAATTCTAGCGCGTGATTTTAAAATCTTATAAAAGGAGGAAAACATCTCAGTTTGTAGCAGTTGCTTAGTTTGTTGTTGCTTAGAAAACTGCTCTTGTTGATTGTAGCGAATTCGCGGATTAGCGTTCTTTAGCTGTTTTGAATTACGTTCTATTTGACATTTGAGTAAAAAAAACAAAAAAAAAAAAAAAAAAAAAAAAAAAAAAAAAAAAAAAAAAAAAAAAAAAAAAAAAAACAGTTAAAAGAAAACTACTGTGAGATATTGTAATACTGCGTGATAATTTGAGAAAATTTAAGCATTTTTGTTGTGATAATAATAAATTTTTGTTCATTTTTCGTCGGACTTGTGCATTCATTTCATAACGAACCCGTACGCACAAAACAATATGAAAATAATTATTTTTTAGTTTTCTCCAAAAAATAATTTTTGATTTTTTTTTTTCAAAATTTATATACCAGGATATATGATTTTTTATAACTAAACGTACGATTTCATTCATAAAAAGTCAAATACCCAAAACTTAATTCAATATACCGAATATATTCATGAAGCAAAAGAACATACTTAGTATTTCATGAGAATGTTCTAGAATTGTAATGAATATGCAGCTCTTTTTCATTCTCTCGTTTTAGACTAAACATTCTCCTTCGAAGAAAGCGTGTGAATGAAAGAGTTTATTTCAATCTCGGAATGCTTGCGATGGACGAAAAGAACACAACGTTAGCTGAACAGTGGTTTCAAAAAGCTGTACAGGTAAAACGGTATTTTTATTGTATTGAGGTAAGCAGAATTATCTTTATTTATGCGGCTATACTAAATTTCGGTGCTAATATTCAAGAAATCCTGTGCTGCTATCATAAAATGGATGTATCGAAAATTCCCAAATTATCAAAAGATTTTGTAGATCCATTTATTAAATTTATGTTATTATTGCGTAGGAAAGAAACTGTGCTCATTTATTCACTGAAATGCATAAAAATTATTTTATTTTGACAGCTACAAATAATTGCCTCATCTACACATACACTAGTTAGAAACGCAGTTACACATACACTAGTTAGAAACGCAGTTACACATACACTAGAAATTATGCATACCAACACCCCAAAAATTTAAACATCAAAATGATAAAATTCAAATGCATATATGTCGTAGGTTAGAAGATTTGATTACGTTATTGCAAGTAATCAAATTTAAAATTACTAGAATTAATTTAAATTATCAAAAATTTTAACTTAAATTGATTATTTAATATTACTTAATATTATTATAAACTATATTAAATCAAACATAATATTGAATAAAATGTAAATTCATTATTGCGAATTCTATTAAATTAACATATTTAAACATTTAGTTAATTTAATAAGTGCTTTCTTCCCTGTCGTACCATTTCTCAAGTGCGCTCTTTCTTCATCCTTTTCGAAATGCATTTAGAATTATTAAATGAAACCACAAATTTTTCTTTGAAGAGAACTGAAATTTTATTTAATTTCGTAACCCTAAGTACTCTTAGAGAATTTTTCGCATGATGTTAAATGCGTTGTTGCTTAGATTATCTTAGGCACGAACTTAATTAAAAGCAAAATACAAGTCGGGAATTTCTTTAGAAATAGTTGTAAAAAGTATTTACGATGCATTTATGCATGTACACTTTAATAAACGCTATAAAATGTTTTAAGAATAATTCCGAGTGTGGAATTACATTTTTAATTTTTACTCAAAGGCAAAAAGCATTTCTTGGAAATTATTTCTTTACTACTGCACTTTCATCTCATCATAAGCATCGTATAATATATTACTAATTTCTACATAAAATATTGCCTACTGTACGAAGAGTGCACAAATGTCTTTAGGCCCACCAGCGGCCCATCGGTAGAGTCTGTGAACACTGGTAGTTCCGACATGGGTTCGATTCCAAGCGAACGGGCTGGCTACAAGGCGTTTTCGTAATTTTCCCCATGTGTAACGTATATACGAGCCAGTTTCTCTTAGAAATCAATCTCTCCTCCCTTCCTAGTGTGCTTTTCCATAATCCCAATGAACCAAATAAACCGAAAAGCGTAGATTTAATTAGCATTTTAAATTTACGTAGCCTTTATTTCCGCAACCATTGATCGTGAACATATATTTCCAAATACAAAAATGTTTGGTATTTTTCTATTATCAGAATCAGATTTAGAAGTATATGTATATATGCATGAACGTATGTATGTATGTGTGCATGCATGCATGTATGTACATTCTTACATATGTGTGCGTGTCTTTGTACATTTCTAAATCCGGTCCCTATAACAGAAAAGTACAAAATGCTTTAAATGACGCAAAGAATCACGTGTCCATATTTTTAAATTTTTAAAAAGGAATTTTGCATAAAATGCGAACTGCAATTTCTTACATGTTCTTTCGGTCTTTATCCTTATGTTTAAAAGAATGTTCTGTACTTCCGTATTATAGTGCCGAGCGTGAAAATTAGCCATTATCGAAACGTGACAGATGGCGGAGGTAGCGCGAAAGTTGCGACAATCGTTCCTGTTGAAACTTGTGCCGCACTTCTATTTCCAATTCTCATCATAATATATTCGTTAATCTCTGTTCGTAATCCACAGAATAGCCACTGCAGCAGATGTGCATGATCCACTTGGAAAAGATTTTCCTCGATTCCTACGTTCGGGTGAAAAGTTAAAAAGAATTATGCCTATGTTTACGAAACGTATTGGATCAGCAAATATTCAAAGTCGAATACATAAGCATACAAGCGCACGAGGTTTTTTCGGAGATCGCGTGGTCGTACTCTTTCACGAGATTCGCCGTGTTTCTCGCAAGAGATGGGTAAATTTTATAAAATATGAGGTAAAATGAGGAACTTCGAACCTATGGCTGAGGGAATGAGATGAAACATTTTCGGCAGATTGGAGGCAGGCAAATCGCAAATACATGTAGCTACACAGCTTAATGTAATGCCCAGTGTCGTCTACAGTTTGTGGAAGCAGATTCAGGACACTTGATCCGTACTGAGAAGACCAGGACAAGGTCCCCCCAAGATCCACAACGACGAATGAGGATCATTATTTTGCACTTTCTGCGCGATGACACAGGACAGCGTATAACTTCACAGCTTTCACGTATGCTGCCACGAGAATCCGAGTTTCAGGGTTTACAGCTACTCTAAGATTTCATGAGACAGTGCTGTGTTCCAGAAGATCCGCTGTTTCTGCCCCTCTTACTGTAGCACACATGAGAGCATGTTTAGCATGGTGCAAACAATATGCGCCTTGGACCTGACTTCAGTAGAGTACCGTGCTTTCGAAAGATGAGTAGAGATTCAGCTCAGACACTAATCCTTTGCATATATGCATCTAAAGAAAGCCTGGAGCACAATACCATCCCTTCCTATTCGTGGAAAAGGATCATATTGTGGTCGAGATTTAATGGTTTGAGTAGGCATTATGTTGGACAGACGCACAACCCTGCAAGTGTTTGCCGAAGGCTCTTTGAATACTATGGTGGTATATAAAAGAGATCTTAGAGCCGTATATTTGACTTTTCAGAAGCGCAATTTGCCTTGGATTTCCTGTTAATAGATGACAATGCTCTTGCATATAGGGTTCAGCTGGTCTATGATTACTTGAAAAATGAGGATATCCGCCGCATGGATTGGCCAACCAGATCTCTTAACCTTAGTATGTTTGAAACGCATTTTAGAGGGCAATTTCATTTCGCCATTCCCCTCTCAGAACCATCGCGGAGTTGAAAGCTGCCTTGCTGCAAGAGTGGGATCAACTGCCACAGGGACTTTTCAACTACCTTCTGTCTAGAATGCCATCAGTTGTGCAACTTGTCTAGCTGAGAGAAGTAACCATCCCCACATTAGACTCATTTTCATTACAAAATCACGATGTAGAATTTTGACATCTCTGCACTATGAGCTTTATTGATAATTAGGTTTAATGCAACCATCCCAGCGCAACTTTGTGATAGTATGCAGCTGGAGAAGCAGAGTTTACTTATCGGGTGCAAGCTGGTGGTTTTCGCGACATTTTTTTTCAAACATTCCCAAACTATCGATATTAATCGAAAACCGGCAAATATTATCAACATATATATTAAAAAATACTTTAGCAAATTAAAATACATATTTTAATAAATAAGGATTATATGATACAAAAAGAAATTAAAAAAAAAAAAAACAGTTTTCGCAAAATCGTTCTGTAATTTTGTGCTGTGACCTCTCCGTGTACACAACGGTCTATTTTCGCTTAAAAAATATCAGAGAACCACAGAAACCCGGCTGTCGCACAAGTTCAAACTTCAGCATTATGAATAAGCTATCTATGAAGCGCATCTCATTGTTCTTTCCTTTAGCGATTTTGCGATAAAAATACTGTATTCCTGTACAAGTTTCACTGAATTTTCTTCCACTGATGATAAATCCCATGACCGGATATTTAAAAATTAGTCTAAGGTAAAAAAGAAAGAAAAATAATACCACAATTTGTTTATATAAATCGTTGGAACTTGAAACAAAAACAACGCTTATGAAAATGGCGACGTTACTTGACTGAAAGATAATAACGAATGTGGTTACCTGAAAATGTTTATACGCAGATTTTCCACAGTTTGGCACATTTTAATAATTTGGCGATTTTTAAGGCGTTTGCTATACGTAAGTACCAAATCTTCTTTGTCATTATTTATTTTTTGATACATTGGATTCAATTCATTTTGCATTATGACAGCATCACATAACGTCTCTAACACATTCGTATAATCACGTTTTCATTTTATTCCCATATGAGCAGTTTTATAAAAATTTCAAAAACATTCTAAATAAATAAAGAAATATATATAAATTTGTCGTTTTAAACAAACAGCTAAAAATAAAACGAGGAAAAGGCGCAAGGTTTTGCCGAGCCTTTCAATGTATTTCCGACCGAAGTGCTAATAGTGTATTTTACGGCAGGATTGTAGATAAAAATGACACCGGATTAATAAGTGTGCCGAAATAGTGAATGCAGATTGTCGGAATTTTACTCTAACTCTGTTTCTGCAATACATTACCATATATTTTTACGATGACAACTATTCAGACAGTTGAAGAAGTGAAAAACATAGGTTATCCAAACGACATTATTTGAACAACACTTCGAATTCGTATATTTGTAACTTTCAATGAAAAAATAAAATCATTTGAAGGATATGGGTTTTTCTAATAATTGAAAAACATTAAGGCTATCTTTGATCTCTGTTATTAGAGAAAGAAAAGCTGAACGTGTTTTAGTATGCTGGCATCTATTGAAGCAGTTTTCGTAGTTTGAATTGCAAGTTCTCCGAGAGAAAGATAACCAGTTTCATTTATTTTTTTTTCCCAGATGTTCGCATCTGATTAAGAGTTCAAAGAATTGCCGATTCTGTTTTTCAAATTACTATCCTATTTTTTTCATTCAAATAAAAAACTTTTTACTTTACTCTGAAGATTAGTTTGTTCTGCTTCATTCTCAGGGTATTCCTATCAAAATTAAATTATAATCATGAGAAAAAAAATGGAAACGAAAAGAAAGTGCTTGGTTTTCTATCTGAAAAAAGCATGTTTAGCATATCGTGTAAAATTTTAAAATTTCTGTATCGTAGAATCTTACTTGATAAATTACATCCTTTTTAATTTAATTCAAAATCTTTTTAGCCCAAAAGGACATTAGCCCAGAAGAAATATTGTCGCTCTTATATTTAAAGAAACTAAACAATGAAGAGTCTAAACGGATGTATGTTTGTTTCTGGAACTGCGAAAAACCAACGGTACCTAGAGTCATCAAATTTTGAATAACATAGTCCTCCATTCGAACATCGGCACCTGGAAGCCCGAATTTGTTATTTGGAATTTGTTTTATGGTCTGTTTCATATTTTATGTTTTAACGAATGTTTTATTAACAAACTCAACAATTTAAAAACGAGCAGTGGCAACACTGTAAGGAATAAACATTTTTATCTCCAGCGGGCGAGATTGTCTATCGGAAATTCTAAAGATGTGCTGTTTTTAAATATTTTTATCCCAATGTGGCGTTAGCCCAAATGCTCTTGAAACGTGAATGTGTCTGTAAATGAAAGAAATGCCCGCTTGGGCGTAATATAAAATCTGAAAGCTTTCAAATTTTACTTCTTATTTTTTTCTTCTATTCAAAGACTTTTTTTAGTACCTTTTAAATTGATGTAAATTACGGAGCATAAAAACTCTATTTGTGGATCTTGAATTTTATCGAAGGCTTTTAATCACATTAAGAATATAGAGACATTAGGTTATTTCGAAGTAAGACACATGAAAAATGAGGAATGACCTCGCAGGAACTCTAACTTGGACCTCTCGAATCCGCGGCGAGTGTGGTACTGTTACACCACGAAAACACACAGAAAGGAGGGAGAAAATACCTTATATACTCTCCTTTTTAAAGAGCGCCTGGGGATTAGAGTACCCACTCGCCAAATCCTGATGGTGAAGCATCATCATACACCACCTTTCAGTTCCGGAGCCACTGCCGAGGCATTAGGTTAGTTTGAATCTGGAGACGTGAAACATTTGCAGTGCTCTCACCAGGACTCGAACCTGAACCTCTTGAATATGAGCCGTGTGTGTTACGTTACACTAAGGCATGCACAAAGAAGATGGAAAATGTCTTATAAGCATAATCATCCTAGTATACTATATTCTAAATTCAGGCGTTTCAATTTTATTGCCGGAACCATGTACATGTGTAGTAATATTGTTGTATTGAAAAATGTTAGAGACTAACTAACTCAACAAGCTGTCATTTCCGTTTGTCTGAATATCTTACATTCATTTTTGAAAACTATTTTGTGTCGATTTCAAATATTTCCGGAATGCTTCAAAGACACTGCAATGAGTTGAACCTGGATAAAACTGCAGTAGCGTTCAGTTTGTGTTTCTGTTATACATTGGTGAAATAAGTTAAGAGAATTTTAATATTTGATCTACGATCTCCAGAACTGCTGGACAGATTTTAATAAAATTTGGTGTGAACTTAGGTTAATATAATACAAACAAAATAAACATTCAGCACATACTAGACACACATGTTCGTGTGTAACGCTCATGGGAGTCTGAAGGCCTGAAACAGCGGTTATTGAAGACACAAAAGAAATGGGTTAATAGGGGGTATGGGTCCCCTCTTACAGCCACACAGACCTCGCAGCGTGATGTCATACTGGAAATAAGGCAGTTTATCAGTGCCTGTGGCAATTGATCCCACTCATTCAGCAACGCTGTTTTCAGTTCCTAGATGGTTCTCGGAGGGATGTTGAAAGTTGAAATTGCCCTCCCCAGAGTATCCCAGACATGCTCTATAGGGTCTAGGTTTGAAGACCTGGCTGGCCAATCCATCCGACGAATATCCTGAAATTCGTCGACCAGAAGATCTCTATGTGGCCTCGCGTTATTGTCCTGTAAGATGAACTCGGGCCCACTGCAACCAGGAGAAGGCTAACATAGGGCTCCAAAACCTCATCCCTTTACCTCACATCAGTTACAACGTCTCTGTCAAAGACGTGGACAGGTGTGTGTCCATCCAACATGATGCCTGCCCATATCATTACACCGCCATTTTAATTATTGACTTCGCGACGCTGGAGGGTACGTCCCTGTCTCTCTCCATATGAAAGTACGGCGAAAATCGGTGTTTAGGCTAAAACGGGACTCTTCTGTGAACAGAACGGTTGCCCATTGCACCGTACTTCAATCACTATGCAGCGTGCACTATGCAGCCTGGCAAACAATCTTCTCTCATTTAGTCTTTTGGAAACTGTCACTCTTGTTACATGGGTTCCTGTGGCTGCATACAGGACCCGAGGGAGCTGAGAAGCTGTAGCTCCTAAAATACTCCTCGCTAAAATGGAAAAGTAGCGATCTTCTCTGGTCGTCATGGCTCTTGAACGACCTTGCCCAGGCTTTCTCTTGAGGGATCCAGTATCCTGGAAGTGTTTCCATAGGTTACACACGACGCAGGGCGTTAAATTAAACTCTCTGCATATCTGGACTTGCGATTGGCCTGCCTCTGGCCTCCCCACAATTCACCACCTCATTCCATTATCGAAACGTTGGTGGTACTCATTTTTACTGTTCCCGATGTGAAATTAACCTAATGCTGCAAGGTAACACCTAGAAATTCTCCGAGGTATGCTAGCGAACGCAATTCGTCTTACCCCTGCACGCGCTTATAATGTCTGTTTTTCTGCTGGCTTCGCCTACACACACCTGTACGCTTACGTATTTGCCGTACAAGATTTGCATTTTTATCTAGAAGTAGGGTTTTTTCCTTCAGTTCAGTTCTCTTCATGCAATTAGATAAAATATGCAAATTCTCTTAATTTATTTCACCAGTGTAGTACATTCGTTTAGTCGATCTACCAATTGAATCATTATAAATACGATTAACCTCACATTTTCTAATGATAGACACACCGTAGACTGGCTTCATAAGCAAAAGTAAAATATGCTCCAATTCTCTGCCATATAGCATGAAAGCCGAATCAGATATGCTCAAAGTGAAAATATCCTGAGAACAATATTTTTTTTTTATTTCAGTTATGTTCGCTGCCTTTAACAGACGCATATATGAGATTTATTTACTACATATATGGAAACTAAAACACTTTTTTTTTTAGTTTTCTAAGTTAAAAATTTTCTTCTCTGCTTAGATAAGAGAAGACTTCAGAAGTGCTCTTTTTAATTTGGCTTTGCTGTTATCCGAAGCTGGTCGACCAATGGAAGCAATACCTTTTTTAAACAGACTTCTTAAGGTCAGTAAAATATTAATCCGGTTACCTTAAATCTGTACTTAAAAGTTTTAAATTTAAAGTACTCTTCTGAGTAACTCACCGTATCATTCTTAACTTTACATGTGCACTTGAAAGCTAGAGCTTAGATCTGAGAAAGTTAATTTTATCAAAGTGTTATCTAAAGTACTCTACTATAAAATATGCTTTTTAAGACTAATATTTTGATCTTTTAATAGTAGTTTTATCATAGTAATGAAGTTCTGATTTCATGTTATTTATTAGCATCTATATAATAAGCCTAAATATTTCGTTTTGTGTTTTACAATTATAGCATCATCCTGATCACATTAAGGGCTTAATTCTTCTCGGTGATATCTACATCAACAGCGTTAGAGACCTGGATACTGCTCAAGAAGTATGTGCTAAATCATAGGCATGATCAGTAATAAGAATTTCTTTTGATTGCTGTTATCCAACGTATATCTGACTTTCCGAAAAATTGAATACAGTTGCTATTTTGAATACTTTTATTCTCGTGAATGTTATAGTTATTGTAAAAAAATAATCATGAAAGATACTTATTGTTGCGTCCTCTTATCTAGCACATTAAAATTTTTAAGAAATTTTGCTTGATTGTGTATACACTATATCCATATAAATTGACTAATTATTGTGGTTCTGACATGAAGTGTAATTTCATAATAACTACTTCTGACATGAAGTTAGAGATTTATAGTTAAATTTGAAATTATATGAAAATTTAGACTGACTAATTTTTCCCTTTCGTTGTCTTAATTAAAATTAGGATAACTATGCATACAATACAGCAGTTGTCTCAAACTGGCGGCCCTCAAAACAGTTTTGGGAGGCCTGCGAAGCCATTTCAATTATGAATTTGTTACAAATACAACCTTACAGATATTTCAAGATTTTAGTTATTTTCAATCCGAGTTTACATTATTTCCACTGCCATTAAAATATCTAACATGATTAACGTATCAGGAAATCTATAAATGAAGCTAACCAAGTTACAGTCTGACATAAATCTTTTCAAAATTTGGAGATAGAGGTATTATTCGTACTTGTCAAAAAAGAAGTAAACTCAGAATTCTATATGTATCACGTATGTTATAAGGACCGGATCCAGAAGTGTATGTATGTATGCATATATGTATGGATGGCTGTGTTCAGGTATGCATGTATATATGTGAGCATGAACGTATGCATGTGTTTACATATACACGTATATGCACATACATGCATACACACGCGTGCACATTCATATATTTCTGAATCCGGTCCCGATAACAGAAGAGTAACTGCACTCATATGTGAACAGCTTTTTCTTACAGTTGAAAAAATAAGAAAAAATTCGATTGACTGATGAGCATCTGCAATCCGCGATGAAGATACATTTAGTAATTTTTCTCCTAGGCTACAAATTTTATCAAAATCTAAACGCCGTCAAATGTCAAGCTGTAGTAAGAAATAAAAGAAATTTATAAGTATTTTACATAGACACGTATGTATTTTTATTTATGCGTCAAAGCAAAAACTAACAAATAAGAGAAAGAAATTTCAGTAAGTTGTCATTATTTATTCTCAAGTTTTGTCGTACTTAGAAATTTTTCTCTGAAAACTTATGACAGTGTTGGTAATTTCATTCAGTTTAAATTAAAGTAAGTTATTTTATGATTAATTAAATATGTTAGGACAATTTTAAATAAATGCGAGTCGATGTGACGATGTTTGATGGAGCACATGCTCCATACAATGTCACTAACGCCATTTCGTTGCTGCAATTCTTCAATAATGTAATTCCGTCACATTGCTGTACACCGTGCACTTGTGATGGCGCAGGTTTTCATAACTGTGGAAGTGACCTCTTCGATGAGGTTGTTGTCGTTTATGCTCACTTGTCTGGCGCATTATCAGCCCAAGCCCACGAAGTTCCTAGTGGCTATCGTTAGCAACAACCTTGAGCACCGAACAGGTATCAGTGCGATTTGGCTCAGTTCCGCCCCAAATTTGAGGGAGAGCACGCCGGGGAAACGGATCCGCAGATCTCCCAACGCTCTAACCTTCCGCCAAACCACGCGAGAGGCTTTCGGATCGCCGCATATTTAGAGTGCCGCCATGCCGCACTGTCACTATACATTTACAAACATCCATACCTTCTCCGGGATTCGAACACGGGCCCTTTGGTACGGCAGTCAGCGACGCTAACCACTATACCGGTTGCGCGGTTTGATGAAGTACGGACCGAGAATGACTATGCTAGCGATGCCTCACCACACATTCACTTTATCTTCGTGTAAAGGCGCTGATGTCACATCCTGAAAATTTTTGTCAGCCTAGTGAATGCAGTTCTTAGAGTTTACATCACCAGTTAACTAGAAAAACGCCCCATTCATCCACATTATCGACAGTGGCCACCTGTTATCTTCGTCATAGCTGATGAATAAAATATTCGCAAAGTCGACACGCTGTTGCTCGTTTCCAGGTTGCAAGATCTGGACGCGCTAGAATCTATAAGGAAACTACAGAACAGAGTGCAGAAGCTTGAGGACTGTGGCTTTCGGTACATTCAAACTGCTGGCAACACTTATTACAGTATGCATTTGACCTGCAGTAATCGTATTATGCATTTCCACAGCAACTTTAGCACATGGTCGTCCGGATTGCGTTCTATCACAATAGCATCCAGTTTCTTCAATTTTTTGTTACCAAATCACGTACATTTTTTACGGAACATAGGCTCCGTTTAATCATGATTTCGCAGATAAACTGCTTCGGAAGCATTTTTCTCGTTCAGGTAAAATACCTTTATAAATTCATCTCGTTGTTTCCCTGGAAGTGTCATTTTGCTAACACCTGATGGAAGAAACACTCTTCTCACACTGCTTATCAAAGGTTTTCGAGAAGCAGTGCCTTGCACATGGTGTTCTGTGAATGATGCTTGTACTATCTATTTTGTAAATTATGAGCAGTGTGTGGTTGGTCCTTTATAATCCTCTTGTTTACAAATGTTTTACTCCGGCAGTTTTCTTCATACATGTATCGTTCCAATGTCATTTATGGTTTTGCAATGCGCCTATCATTTTGCGCAAGAAAAAAGCGTATGTTGCCATTAAAAAATCTTCAATATTTTTACTGTCACCGTGAAAACTCTATTGCTTTTAATCATCACAATCTTGAGCGCATACCTTCAAGTAACAATAGCTGAAATTTTACTTCGAGTGTTTGAGCGGATAGGTCGCTAGGAGTTCATAAATCGGGGTTTTTACTGGACACCCGATATAATTAAAAAAAAAGCAAAGTTGGACTGTATAAGTAATAGAATGCATTTCAGAAAGGGTGATTCAGAACTAATTGCACAATTTTTAAGGGTTTTATTGAACACGCTGACACAAACACTTTTCATCATAGAATGCATGGTCTCAAGTAAGCAGTTAAGCACCTCGAGCCTCGTCCGTTAAGCATTTCATCCCCCCCCCGAGTCCACCAGCGGCCGAGCGGTAAAGTATCTCAAAACTGTTAGCTCGATCTGAGGTTCGAATCCCGGCGAATGGCTGTATGGGCGTTTTCATTATAAGGCTGTATGGTTTTCCGAAGTGTAACGTGTATACGAGCCAATTTTCCTTAGAACGTCCTGTTCGAAGGTATCCCTCCCTTTACGCAGGTGACCTTCGTGTGCTTTGTCGTAGTCAAGTAAACCAAACCAAACCATTTCCTTGCTCATGCTCTCTTTTCAAGAGCAAAATTCAAATTATAATGCTCATCTTTCCGTCATTTGTATGCCCATTCATTGCAGATCGCTGATTAAGGTGCTTACTTCTTGAACATGATAAACGCGACATGTCCATCTCACTGAAAATAAGGTTATTTGAAAACATGTTTTAATATATGCAGCTGAGAGTCTTTCTGAGGGTTTGGTTGAACAGGCTGAAGAAGAAGGATTATTTTTACACCACTTTTACGTAACCAGCTAAACCTAACCTGTAGCTTCTGACTGCTGAATAAACAATCATGCATTTTAGGATGAAAAATGTTTACTTTAATGTGTCTAATAAAAAAAATTAAAATTCAGTTGCTAAGATTGGAAATAACTAACGACTCTGGGTGTTATTCCAGGCTTCAGTGAAAAAAATAACAAGTATCTACACACTTAACACACAAAAAAGGATAGTTCTATATCTCACGCTCTACTGAGAAATTTAATTTATGCTTTTCATGTCTCGATAGCGCAACTTAAGATATCTACTAAATTTATATGTAGGTAGTTTGACAGAAAATAGGACTGTTCTGAAACCGCATGATGAATGTTTCCCATATTTCGATTCTACTACTTAAATTATGCCTAAATATTAAATTTTGTAAAATTAAGTGATACATTTAAAAATTTATATTCCCGCACTTAGCTCAGTTTGAGCCGAGAATAATTTAGTTGAAGAAATTCTTAATTCATGGTAACATATTTTGCTTTCCAATTTCATTGTGCACGAGCGGAGAAAACGGCGCATCGTTCATTCTTTCAAGTAACTTTAACAAAGTGCGTAAATCACATTTGGTGTTTATTTTACTGATGAATATGCCAAATTTCAAAACGCGCCAGTATAAGAATTTATGTATATGTGGGGAAATTTGGAATAAAAAACTAAAGTTTTTTGCAGGTGTACTTAGAGATACATCTGCTTTAAGATGATGGTATAAATTTTATAGGTTATAATAAAAAAAAACATTTTTCGAGAAATTTATAAAATTTCTGAAAAATACAAATTTTAAAACAAGTGAGAAAATATCTACGAATTTTATTTGGATAGAATATAAATTTTGAACTGTGAAAAAAGAAATAGAGTAAGTTTAATAAGAAAGAGATATTAATATATATATATACACCAAATTATATATATATATATATATATATATATACCAAATTCGTTTTACACTGAAGAACTGTAATTTTGAAAGTTAATTTTTTAAAAACAATTCATGCGATTTTTGCAAAGCCTGGAGCTTTGGTATAATTTGAGTCTTACAATCGAAATATGAAAAAATAGGTATGCCATTTCAAAAAAATCGTATTTTATGTAGAAACACCTATGTTAGAGAATACCTATATTAGAGTTATAAATCTCTGTCCTAAATTGCGCTTTCGAGACATGAAAAATGCAAGTTAAATTACGCCAATAGGCCCAGTGCAGAATGAGAGATATGGAAATGTCAAATGTTTTTTGTGCAGAGTGTACATAAAGACATCGACCTCTCGGTGTTTTCATTCAAATCAGTGTCAGAGACACACTACAGTTATTTCAAATCTATAGATTTTCTGAATCTCTAGCACGGTAATGATCACACGAATATTGAAGAGGCCTTTTTATGATAGTGAGTTTCTTAAGCGTTTTAGCAAGATTTAACTTGTTAAATATGTCAACTAATTATATCTTTTATATTTTCTATTTCGCAGTGCTACATGAGTATCCTACGTCAAGAACCTGGGAATGTACAAGCATTGCACAATCTTTGCGTTGTTCATGTTGAAAGAGGGCATTTAAAGGAAGCTGAAGAATGTTTAGAAAAGGCCTCAGCTATGGCACCGCAAGAAAAGTATGTCCGAGATCACTTAGAAATCGTCCGTGCAAGACGAAAACTTGGTCCTCCCACAGTTACTGACAGGACGGTTAATAACAATAAACTCCATCCAATTAGGTAGCTCTAACCTTCAAAATCCATTTCAGCTATCTATTTGATTGGCGAATATCAAGTTGAATCTATAAACAGTATGCACGTATGGTGAACATGTTGATGCTTAAACCCTATACTGCACTTTTCGGTGTAAGATCACTTAAACTGACAAGAAATATAAATTTCTAATTTGCGTATGGATAGAGAGATGTGTGGTTATCTCAAGCAACATTGAGCGTAATGTTTCACCAAATGTAAGTTTTGATGAACTTCAATGGACTGCTCAACATATAAAAGTTTAGAATGCAAATAAAATGTTTTTAAATATATATTTCTATAGAAGATATTCATTATCGTTATTACATTAACTAAGGAAGCATTTCTTTACGTAACCAAAGTAAGTACGTTTAGTAACAAAGTAGTTACTTTAGTAACAAAGTATTATTATTACAGATACAAAGTGGGACACGATAACTAAAAGCTGATTTTAAATTCAATAATGAAATTCGGGAAAACATTTGCTGTTATAATACTTACACAAGTAATACTTTGAAGCAAATGAAAGTGAGTATTTCTGATCCGATTACTTGCCTTATACGTAATACAGAAACGGTCATTCTAGCGAACTATGGTTAGAAACACCTAGTCGTAGCTTTTGTAAGGTGATTTCATTTATAGTTCTTTCATTTTCATCGATTTTGATTCTTTCGCTTGGTAGTTAAAGAATCAGTTAAGCATACTTATTTAATATCAAACAGTTTGTACAAAATAACGGAAGAAATTGCTTTAAAAGTCAGCGGGAATACAATATTTTGCCACAAAATTGCTAAAGAAAACAATGATGAGAAGCATTTGGTAGGTAGCAGGAACACAATACCCAGCTTCTGATATTCTCGATGTTTATTAAAGTCCGCCAGCGGCCGAGCGGTTAAGTCCCTGAACACTGGTAGCTCGGCCGAGGTTCGAATCTTGCAAATGGGCTGGCTGCATGGGCGTTTTCGTGTTTTCCCCCATGTGTAACGCGTTAATACAAGCCAGTTTCCCTTAGAAAGTCCTCCACCGAAGGTATCTCTGCTTTCCGTGTAGTGCCTTAGGGCGGAACACATAAATAATAAAAATATTAAAATGGAAACAGATAGCTATATACAAAGGTAGAACAGCGAAAAAAAAGGTTTTCAGAAGGACTTATGAGTGTATGAAACATATGAGTGTTTTCCTTTTAATGTATCCTTTAACACTGATTAAATAATTAAATTTTGCATTGCTAGATAGCCAGTGCGAAATGGCAAGTTTATGTAATTTTCTGATGTTTTTCTAAGCGAAAACAGATCGCTGTGTATATGACGACAAGAACAGTGCGATAAAATTAAAAAACTTTGAAATGTGTTTTATTTTTAATGTGTTATATAATCCTTATTTAATAATTAAAATTTGTATTTATTTTTTTTTATTGACATGTTGGCAATGTTTGCCTACTTACTTAAAGAACTAATTTAGGAAAGTAATTTGACTAATTTAGGAATATTTTTTTTAAATCTCAGAAGTCGCCAACTTGCAGCCGATAAGTAATGTTTACTTTTTCATTTGTGAAAGACTTCTTAAGGTTAAGGCAGACAACTATGAATTACAAGTTTAAAACCTAACTATCTAGATCATCTAACTCACGGCTACTAATGTGAGTAGCATCAAAAATAAACTTAAGAACTCGCAGCTCAGAGAAAACACAAGACCAGTTTAATTGCTAATAACCAAATAAGTTTAATTGCTAATAACCAAATAAGTTTAATTGCTAATAACCAAATACGTTTAATTTCTAATAACCAAATAAGTTTAATTGCTAATAATCAAAATACACAGTTTACAATATTCACAGTTTGATTCCTAATAATCAAAATAATATTAATTAAATAATTATAATGAAGATAAAAATTATAATTTGCTTTCAGAAGAACATAAGGACATTATAATTTTCCTTAGTTTATTGGAATTCTTATGTCCCTATTATTTGAACTAAGATAATAGTTGAATGGTAACTTTCCTATGCTTGACACATTTTTCAGATCCTCAAAAGCCCTTCTTTGTATTATTTATCGCTAGCGATAATTCGTACGACACTACTTACATAACAAGGCGATTAATGAGACGCATTGAATCTGTTAGTGTTTTATATTTTCACATTAGAAATGCATAATTCATGATTTATTTTTTTTCAAGTTTATTAAAATATTAACTTTTTCTCTTCATAAATAATTTTGACCAAAAAAAAAAAAAAAAAAAAAAAAGGAAGAAAGAAGAATATTTAGTTGACATATAACTTCCTTAAAAACGTTTTAACTGTATTCAGCACTTATTCTAATAATAACTGTTTAAGATATTAAGTACATACTTTGACTTGAAGTGGGAGAAAAAGGACACCATTTTTAATTTCTTTAGGCTGAAAAGGAAGCATACATATATGAAGACATAAATCATATGCTGTCAAGTTCACATGTCAATATGTATTCATAGGTGTAGCTACAGCATTCTTGTCTGTGATTAGGAAATGAGGTTAATGGTATCAGCTTCTTTAATTCCTAATTACCGCTGTGAGTTCTAAATGCGAATAACCGTTAAAGGCTTAAGCTTTCAAGGGGATCTGTCTGTTCATTTCTAAGCTCATCATCTAAGCACACCAGCCATTACATTGAATTGAGTACGCCTTTCTAAATGACCTACTTTGTGTAGAATGGATAGCGATACCTTTTCATCTTGCGTTCTAATCTGTATTTATGAGCTGTTATAATGACTTTACATCGTTCTATCGTCTCTAGAGGATTTCTATGCATTCATTTCGCATGACACTCTTATTATTTGAAAACTTTGTAACTTTGCTTTAGAAAACAGATTTGATTGTGTGCTTTAGTGCAAAGAATGTAACTTTGAAACTTAAGAAACAAAAGTAATAAAATATAAAAAAGTATATCTCTAATTTAGCCATACAGGAAAGTTGGAATTTTTTTTTTTTTTTTTTTTTTCAAATTTATATGATTTATAAAATTAATGTTAAAGGCCTCAGAGTTATCTGATTCTTTTTCGGATCACTTTTCATAGATCCTTTATAAGGTATTTTCTCTCTTTTCATCATGCCTTCGTGGTGTGATTGGAAGCATACTCCACGCGTATTCGACAGGTCCAGGTTTTGAGTCCCGGCGAAGGCGTTGTACATTTTTACCTCTTCTGCTTCAAAAACACGTAATTATTTGACAAGTGGTACCCCAACTGAAAGGTGGTGGACGATAATTCGTCACCACCAAGATTTAGCAATTCGACCCCCCCCCCAATTCCCAGTCGAACCTTAAAACAAAGAGTATCTATTTTTCCCTCCTTTCCGCATGCCTTCTTAGTGTAACCAGAAGCACACTCGACGTGTATTCGGAAGGACCAGAGTTCGAATCCCGGCGAGAGCACTGCACATTTTTCCGGTCTCCAGCATAAAATATCTTAATGACTTTACAGTGGCTCCCGAACTAAAAAACGATGGACAATAATTCGTTCCCCTGGGATTTGGCCATTGAGTTCCCTCATCCTTTTTCGCCCTTTAAAAGAGGGGAATATATAAGGCACATTCTCTTTCTTTTCCGTATGCCTTCGTGGTGTAACGGTAGCACACTCGGCACGTATTTGAGAGAGCCTGGTTCGAGTCCCGGGGAAGGCATTGCACATGATTCACGTCTCCTGCTTCAAGATAACCTACTGATTCTATAGCTTAAGTGTCTTCTTGAGTTATTTAATTGCAGACTTTAATTTTATTATAAATATCTTTAAATACTTGTAGATATATTAGGAATATTTTTAAGAGCAGAAGACTTGAAAAATGAGCAATGTCCTCGCCGGGAATCGAACCACGGATCTCTCGAATACGCGCCGAGCGTGCTGACCACTACACTAGGAAGGCGGGAGAAATGCCTTATATACTGTTATGAACTTATAGTTACAGTAGGTGAATTGAAGTTCTTCGGCATTGCTTTAAGAGTTTTTATTATATTTCAATTATATTTAAAATTACTTAAATTATTTTGATTAATAGTATTTTATTAATTATTCTTTAATTAATATTCGTTTAATTTGGGTTTTAGCTACGAAATTTTGCACATATCTTATAATATCAGTCGATCGAATATGTATCTGAAATATACAGTTTATTTTAAATTAAAAAATAATTTACATAAAATTAAAGTGCTGCTTGCGGTCTAGTTTTAAATATTTTCCTTTAACTTTTGCCCAATAAATTACTTATGAAATCTTGAAAGAAATATGTGTTTATACTTTTTTGAATCCGACTGATAGTTCATCTTAAAAAAATTATTTAGTTGTTTCAAAGCAATGTATAAACTCACTTTTCATCAATATTTCGCCTAAGTTAATTACTAGACTAAAATTCTTAACAAATTTATGAACAAAAATGCATGCACACATTTGTTGATATCTGGTATACTTTAAGCCGAAAACAAGACCATTTTTAAAGATAAATGAAGTGGAGGAAATTATGTGTTTGTCTACACTTTTTCTGGAGAACAGGGAGCTTGGCTCATCTTTAAAAATTCTAAATGCTCCAAAAAAGTCGATATGTTTTAACATTGCTTTTTATACAAACTACAGTTAAATACGTTGAACAATAATAATAAATTCAAACTTTTAGTCGCTTTTACTCATTTAAAAGTCCATCAGTCGCTTAAGAAAATGTTTCAAATTTATTCGTATTGAAAAATCTTCTAAATTTACTTCAAAAATTTCCTAATCTAAGACATTTAAGAAGTTCTGAAAGTCAAAGCAGATGGAAGATTCATACATGTACTTCAGATATGAAACTAAACAAGGGAGGAAAAAACCTGAATGTTTTAAAGTGCCGCAAAATTTCAAATGGCCTCGTGTGCAATGAAAGTTGTGAACCCAGCCTAAAGAAGACTTTAATTGCCATACGAAAAATACAAAACTTTTGCAAAATGAAATTTGGGCAGAGTTTAAGAATCGTACTTTCCTGCACAATATGTCATATAGTCTAATTTTAAGGGAATAAACACAATGTTATACAGAAAGAACAAATACTAAGCAAACTAGGTTTATTGTTTTGAATATTAATAATATCGAATTAAATAATTCTTCCTTTAACCAGAAAACGTACTTCTCTTTATCAATGCAAAACAAATGTTACGTGATAAACAGCAAGTACTTCAAGAAGGGTGAATACCAAGTAAAATGGGTTTACACATTTTATGGTAATATTATGAAAAAAAAAATTACTGTTCCTTTACTTAGAAAATGTACTTTCTTTTACCATAGAATATAAAAG